CTTCTCCTTCTCCTTCTCCTTCTCCTTCTCCTTCTCCTTCTCCTTCTCCTTCTCCTTCTCCTTCTCCTTCTCCTTCTCCTTCTCCTTTTTCCTTCCTCCAAGAAACAAGAATTGTGCTTCCCTTCTTCTCAGCCTGTCTCTCTGTTCAGAGGGCAGGTGAACCCCACACGTTTTGTCACTGACATGTCCCTCGTTCCCCCTCTGCAGGGAGCTGATGCCCAGGACCCTGGAGGGGCAGATCACCATGGAGAAGACCCCCAGCTACTTTGTGACCAAGGAGGCCCCAGCCCGCATCTCCTCCATGAGCAAGGGCACCAAGCTGATCGTGGTGGTGCGCGACCCCGTCACCAGGGCCATCTCGGACTACACCCAGACCCTCTCCAAGAAGCCTGACATCCCCACCTTTGAGAGCCTGACCTTCAAAAACAGGACTACAGGCCTCATAGACACCTCGTGGAGCGCAATCCAGATCGGCATCTACGCCAAGCACCTGGAGAACTGGCTGCTGCACTTCCCCATCGGGCAGATCCTCTTTGTCAGCGGGGAGAGGCTCATCAGGGACCCCGCGGGGGAGCTGGGCAGGGTCCAGGACTTCCTGGGCCTCAAGAGGATCATCACGGACAAACACTTCTACTTCAACAAAACCAAGGGCTTCCCGTGCCTGAAGAAGGCGGAGGGAAGCAGCAAACCCCACTGCCTGGGCAAGACCAAGGGCAGGACCCACCCTGACATCGACCAGGACGTGGTGCAGAGGCTGAGGGACTTCTATAGGCCCTTCAACATGAAGTTCTATCAGATGACAGGGCAGGACTTCGGCTGGGACTGAGGCTGAAAGAAATAATTTAAGAAAAGGAAAATATAATATAATATATATCTATTTTTTTTACCTATCAGTAGAGAGGCGGGGGGGAAATAATGGGGAGAAAAAAATAATAGCTGTGCTGAAACACACTTTGGTTTTTATTTTTTTTGTTACACTGCTTTGTCTCCTTTCTTCTCTCTGAGAAAAGGGGCTGTGCACACCCAGAAAAGGAGGCTGTGGAGAAACAGCCTGGTCCCAATGACATGAGCAGCTTCCCTCAATGTTTTTTTTCCCTCTGTAAAAAAACACAGGTGCAAAGTTTTTAGCCGTGACAGGGGTGCTGGGGGCAGCTCAGAGTCTTCCTGAAAGTTTAGCCAGGTTTTGCCTTGTAAGGGCCATTTTGGCCAGACCTCACCACTTTTGACAATAAAACAAAGGTGGCTTAATACCTAATTTGGCTTTCCAAATGTTACCTTAGGGGATTTTTTTTTATTGCATGAAACATTTGGTGAATTTTGCTTCCACTTATCCAATTTTTTTATTTTACTTTTACCCCCCTTTAAATCAAGCTCTTTTCATCAGCCGGGCTTATTTTTCCTCTTAAGGAAGCCAAAACCAATAATCCTTTGTTTTGTTTTGAGAGAAAATAATTTTGGTAGCCAAAAGTGAAAGAACACAAACGATTCTTTTGACTCTATAATGAAAATTGCCAGGTAGTCAAAAGCCTCATTCACAGGAGCTGGCTCTAAACCAGCGCTCCCTATTGCATCCCTTTTCCTACTCTGACAGCAAAATAGTTTTTTTAAGGGTTTTTTTTTCTAAGAGGGGCCCATCTGAAGGGATTTTGGGGATGGGAAGGAGGTTTCACACTGAGATGATGCTCATGGCACACCCTGAATGTGTTTGGGGTGCCACCATTCCACCAGGGATGTGCAGGAAACTTCTTGGTGTCCAGTGGACATGGTTGAAGCCATAATGATGAATGTTTTAAGTTGGGCCAGTCTTAAGTAGACTGGAGGAAGGGTTGGTTGGGAAAAGGTGACAATAATCATGTCCAGAAAGAGGAATTAGAAAACAGTAGTTCTTTCCTAAAGGAGAACTGAGGGGGAACCTTGAAGGTTGTGAAGGGCGCCAGGCAAAACCTTTAGCACGTTTTTTTTAGCTGGTGGAAATGTTTCAGTGACAGAAATCTCTTAGTGAAGCAGAGTCTTTTATTGCCATGGGCTCATTTATCTGCTGGCTCTTGATCTTCAGCATTTCTGCGCTCTGGGGGTACCCAGTGACACCTTGGTGCTGCATAAACCACATGGGAGTGCTCCCTGTCCTGAGCCCAGCTCTGAAGGGTTAAAACCTCAGGGGGTAAAACAAACTGTGTGGGATCCCCCAGGAATGTGGTGAGGAAGGAGCCTGGGGATAAAGTTCACTGGCTGCCTGCATACCAGCAAAAATATTCATAAAATCCCAGCAGAGCAGAGATTTCAGAGTCCAGAGAGAATTGGAGCAGAGTTACAATTTCACCTGAGAGGGAGGCAGTTCTACATTGGAAAGTTAGGAAAAGGGTTTGGGGACCCTCTCAGCCTCATGGCACTGAGTTCCTCTGCATGTGCTGAGCCACAGCTTCTCCTGGCTGCCCTGAGCCACCTTCCTGCTCAGCCTTACACATCTCCTGTTCCCAAAGATGGGAGTCCTGGAACCTTCCCATGCCCTGAAGACACAAACCCACAGGGTTCTGCATGCCAGGCTCCTTTCCCAAGGGGATCAAACAGCTTCATTGAGCTCCTGAGGCCCCAGGAGCTTCTCCCATAGCAGGGCTGAGCCTGACCCAGGTTTCCATGCCCCAGCTGTACAGAAGTGTTGCTGGGCTGGTGGCACCAAAGCCAGGCTGTGCTCAGCCCTCTGCCCTGGTGTGGCACAGCTCAGTGCCATGTTCACCCCCTCCACTGCTGCTTTCACCTCTTTCCCCATTTATGTCCCATTTTAAGGCTTCTTTTGGCCATGTCCCATGCCACATGTGCATAAACACAACACCTGAGCAGAAAGGAGGATCAGGCACCACACAGACCCCAACATCCCTTCAGCCCCTCAAAATTCAGACAAGACATGACCTGAGAAGATCAGAGATGGTCACAGAGATGGGACCATGGTCCCTCCCAGCATCAGAAGTTGGGAGAACATTGGGTTCTTCATAATGGTGTCAAATTATTCCTTCCCACAGGAGGTGAGGGGAGCATTCTGCCTGTGCTGGTCAGAATGGGCATGAGCTGTACCCAAAAGGATGGTGGGGAATTATTGGAACAAATATTCCAAGAGCAAGGTTTTGGGGCAGGAATAGGGATGGACAGCCCCCCATGCTGTGCTCTTTATTCACATGGAAAAACCAAAGTGGTAGCAAGGGTGAGGCATCAGTCACTCACAGGCATAATCAAACAGTGCCAGAACCAGTAAGGCACAAAATCTGAGGTCTTCCAGCTGAAAAGGAGATTTTAGCATGCCATTTCTTTGGTATTTCAAGGAGAATGAAGGTTAGGATAATACAGACATAGCTTTCACAAGTTACTGTCATTTAAGCCCAGCTGGGATCTCAGCTCCACTCACTCCACAGGTGAGACACAGGGAGAATTGGAAAAGTAAATCTGAGGAAACCTGAGGGTTGAGATAAAGAACAATTTAATAGGTAAAGCAAAAGCAAAGCAAACCAATAAATTAATTCCAGGCTTCCCATGGGTGCTCAGATGCTCATCCCCAGGACAGCAGAGCTCCCTCACATTTGGAATGGTGACTTGAGAAGGCAAACACTATCACTCCAAAAATTGCCTGCTTCCTTCTTTCCCCACTTTCATATGCTGAGCATGATGCCATATGGTCCGGAATATCCATATCCAATATGAGCATGATGTCATATGGTCTGGGATATCCCTTGCATCCACCAGGATCAGCTATCCTGGCTGTGTCCTGTCCCAGCTCCTTGTGCATCCCCATTTTCCCCACTGGAGGAGCAGGAAAAGCTTGATGCTCTGTAAGAACTGCTCAGCCCCACTGAAAACACCCCTGGGTTATCAGCACTGTTCCCAGCACAAACCCAAACCACAGTCCTGTGAACAAAATGAACCCTACCCCAGCCAAAACCAGCAGACAAATACAAACATCACTTAGGAGTGTGATGCTTTAAAAAATCAATAGAGTTATATTGCTGTTTTCTCCCACACGGTCACATTTGCACTGCCATAAAGCAGCTTTATAGGGCCACAGACTGGGCTCCCCATATTGCACAAGCAGCAGCAATACCAAGCATTTTTTACAGCTGAATATCTGCACCTGCCACCAAATCCCTGCCATTAAATCAGCAGAGCCTTGATATGTGCAAAAACCCATCAAATGTGCCTTTAAAATCTCTTCCCAGCACATCAAGCTCAGCCACTTAGGAATCCTTTCCTCTAAATTCTTCAGTGTTTTGCTCCCCCTCATTTCCAGGGGTTTGAATACCTTGTTGCACACCTTGTAAAGCTATTTAGGGATCTGGGGCTGTGATTGATTGCTTTTGATCTGGGCCATAAGTAGTTTGGAAAATCCCTCCACGTATGAACAATGGCTTTTAAAAAGAGGTCATGCAACCAAATTGCTTTGAACTCTAATAGCATTTAAGCCTCTAAACTCTTTAGGCTTATTTGAAAATCCAGCCATGAAGTTTAGATTATTTTAACCTTAAGAAGAATTGGGAGGTAAACTATTGAAAACCACATCCCTCCTGGGTCTGCAGTGCTGGGCACGTGTATTGGAGGGGAAATCAAAAGTAGCTATAAATAAAAAAGTGTTTTTCTTAAAAAAACAAAGGCAGAAAAATCTAAACATTAACTATAGGAAAATAATAAATTTGTTAGGTTAGTAAAATAGTTCTGGTCTCAATAATCTGCCATTAGGCATTGATGAAGCTCAGGCATGATGCAGCATTTGGATTTTAGAACAAAATCCAAATTTTGGATTTGTTTTGAGGGGAAAAAAACCAACCCACACCAATTTTTCTATCAGCATCAAGTATCAAAATGATCATGAATTTTACAAAATGAAGCCTGGGTTGCCCAGGAGGTGGATTCCCCATCCCTGGAAGTGTCTGAGGCCAGATTGGCCTTGCAGCATCCTGGGGTGGTGGAAGGGAATGAGACCAGCTTTGTGGTGGATTCCAGTCCAAACCATGCCCCGGTTCCATGATCTTTGAGGAGACAGACACAGCCTCAGATGGCACCACAGCTCTCCTGCACTGAGAACACAACAGTGTGGGTTTGGGTGTGCTGAGCACCAGAATTACCCCAAAATCTTCTGACAGCATTCAGAGGGGTCTGAGGATGAGGGAAGAGACAAGGATCTGGTTCCGTGTTTCAGAAGGCTGATTTATTATTTTATGATATATATTACATTAAAACTATACTAAAAGAATAGAAGAAAAAGTTTCATCAGAAGGCTAGCTAAGAATAGAATAGCCAAGAAGAATGATAACAAAGGCAGCTGTCCCAGACGCTCTCCTTATGAGCCAGCTGACTGTGATTGGCCATTAATTAGAAACAACCATATGAGACCAATCACAGATGCACCTGTTGCATTCCACAGCAGCAGATAATCAATGTTTACATTTTGTTCCTGAGGCTTCTCAGCTCTCAGGAGGAAAAAATCCTAAGGAAAAGATTTTCATGCAAAGATGTCTGCGACAGTCTTCAAAAATAATTTTTTCCCTAACTGCTGCTGACATGCTCACCCAGTCCATTGAAGGTGAGATCTCCCTTTAACACATCAGCAACAGCTTTCAGCCAAACCTGGAGGGTGGGGAAGCTCTTTGCTCTCTTTTCAACTGAAAAAATCAGAGAAATTATATTTTCTTTACCAGTGCAGTTTGGCATGGCAATGCCAGGTGTGTGTGCTTCTATAAAATCCATCCCTGCCATTCCTGGCAGGGGCTGCTGTGCCCATGGGATCCTTGATTTTGTGCCATAGGGAATTTCATCCTCAGCTGCTGTGGAATTGCTGCCACTCCATGATCCACACAGATAAAATTAGTTTATACATCCTGGGGATCAGTGTGTGACACTCCTCTGCCTGATGTCAGGGTGCCCTGGGGGTGCAGCACTAAGGAGCCAAATTTCCAGCAATAATTTGGCTTTTCCTGCCCTGTACAGGGTGATTCTGGCTTGCACTGGTTTCCAGTTCTCCTTCACACTTCACGTCATCAAGTCTCCAGATGAAGGGGAAACATTCCCCATTTTCCTAAGCATTACAACATTCCTTGGTTGTATACAGCAGGTTCTGGGGTTTCTCTCCTCCCTCCCCTTCACTTGGTGATAATGTCATCCTTCTCCCTTTGGTGCTATTTTCAGTATGGAAAAAAAAAATTAATTTAAGAATGAAAAAGCACACGTTTAATAAAGTTTACGGGTACTGAGAGGCTGTGCTCTCTTTTTGCTGGTGGCAGCAACCTGGAAAGAGGGGGCATAAAAAGAGGAAAAAACCTCAAAATTTATGAAAAAGGGGGAAAACCACAAAATTACCCATTTGTGTCTGATTTTAGTGTTCTAAACCTCATTCAATCCATGGCTCTGCCTTCTGTGAACTCCCCAGTGGCATCACTGTTTCCATGACCTCTGGTCTTGCACCACATCAAGGTCAATGCCATATTCCTTTCTTTAAATTGCAAAAATCCTCCAAAATTCAGGTTTCACTTAAAAATTCAGGTTTCCCTGTCTCCTCCAGTGCTCAGCCTTTTGCTGTCCCTGGCCCTGCCACGTCCACAGCATTTCTCCACTGAGATGGAAGAATTCCTGCTTGCCCTGACCAGGATTGTCCCAGTTCACAGTGTGTGAAACCTGAGGGGAAAGGAATTCCTCAAGAAATATACACAGTGGAGAAACCCCCCTCCTGTATCAGCTTTGCTGTGTGGTCAAGTAAAATGATATTCTATTTACTTTTTCAGATGTATAAACAGATTAAGTCCCAGGGAAAATATGCTCCCAAATTTCATAATATTTTATTAAACCACTGAAGTTTAATATAATCTTTTGGCTTCCACAGAAAAAAAATTTCCATTTCTTTTTCTGAGTACCTTTGATTTTATTTTCTTTTAATTACGGTTATCCGGAGTTAACGATCTGGGGTTTGCACTCCACCCAGAAAGGACTATCCAGATTAGGAGTGGGGAATTCTGCTGAAATACAGAAATACAGAAATATTCATGTGGTGGTAAGAAGTCAACCACACCAGAAAACTCTGGAGAAGCCAATGTGCAGAATTATTTCTGGCTGCATTCCTCAGTTCATTTCTTACCTAAAATATTGGCCAGCCATGGCTTTTGTGAAGAGTTATACCTCTGTCACTATAGGACATGAAAGAACACAAGCACACACTGCTGTTCTCAAGGTGAAGAAAAAGGGAAGTTTATTTTCTGACTCCAACATTAATAGTTTTCTAAGAGTGACAGTGGATTGGAGGGTGACAGTGCCACCTCTCCAATGACACTGGACAAACCAACAGTCCATCAACTCTCCCCTCCTCCATAAAGGAATGCAAAACAATGAGTTATTTACAGAAAGTGTGTGAGAAAGTTCACTACAAGGATGTCAACATCAGAAAGCTTAGAAAATCTTAAAAAACCAGGGTGACACACCTCCTCTATCTTCTGCCTGTCCATGCTGCTTTTCCATCCTGGGGAAAGCTCTCCTGAGCTCATCTCCAGCTCATGAGCTCATCCCTCATGGACACAGATCTGGATCATCCATCGGGGCGTGAAGATGCAGGAGAAGCCAACACCACCCTGAGCCTGGAGCACACAGTTGGCCCCTGACCTGCCAGTTGTGCTGGCCATGGAATGCCCCACAGGCAGCCTGGCTCCTGGGGAAAGCTGCTGGGAGCCAAGCAAAGCCCCTCAGGAAACACCCAGCACCTGCATTTCCACCTTGTTAATTAGGAATGATGATGGCCATCGTGGTCATTTGCACTTTTCCAGTTGTGTGGATTCTGGAGGGCAGATTTGGTGGTGTGAGTGTTGCCTGAGGTGCTCAGTGCTGCAGAGGAACTGCAAATGTTGCTTGTCAGCCCCACCAATCTGTCCCTGTAGCTCAGGTCAACTTCTGGAAATGGAGATCAGCTCTGGAAATGGAGATCAGCTCTTGGAGATGGAGATCAGCCCTGGAGATGGAGACAGAGATCAGTCCTGGAAATGGAAATCAGCTCCTGGAGGTGGAGATCAGCTGCTGGAAATGGAGATAAGCCCTGGAAATGGAGAGCAGCTCCTGGAAATGGAATTTGCCCTGGAAATGAAGATCAGCTCCCTCCTCGAAATGGAGATCAGCACTGGAGATGGAATTAGCCCTGGAAATGGAGATCAGCTCCTTCCTGGAAATGGAATCAGCCCTGGAGATGGAGACCAGCCCTGGAGATGGAAGGTCGTCCTTCACACCAGCCTCTCTGAGTTTCCCCATTGGTGCCCAGGCAATGGTGAGGCTGGAGGTCAGACTTGCCTGGCCAGTGTTTCTCCATCTCATTTCCTTTGTTCTTCCACCAGCTCCTGTGATTTAGGGGTGTGGGCAGCAATCTAAAGGAAATGACTGAGAGGCATTGGCTGGGGGGCACTCACCTTCCCCGGGAGAGAATCAATAGATTTTCTATCCAGCTCCCACTGGGGACCCCCAAGGCTGGGCACAGAGGAGGTGGTAGGGCAGTGAGAACCTTCTGTTGAGCAGGACAGGTTTGTGGGCACAGAGGAAAGAGGCCAAATGCCTCCTGTTGACAGGGCAAACACAGTCACCACCTAATTCCTCACCTTTCTGCTCCCTCCCAGCTCTGCAGGGCTCTGCCAGTGCACAGTGAGCACCAGTGGTGTCCTGGCATCCAGGGCTTTGGGGTGTGCAGGGCTGGTGGAGCCAGAGGGACCATCCCACCAGACCTGATGGAATGCCAGGAGCCATCTCTCTGCTGGGTTTGAATCAGCTCTGTTCAGTTCTGACAGGGTCTGGTGGTCCTGCAGTCCAAGAAATGCAATTTAGGGGCACATCCTGTCCCACAGGCACATCCCCACCCACCTGCCACAGGAATTATAAAGAAAAACCCAATGGCAATGATACACCATGACTCAAAACCACCTCACTGCTCCCCTTTCCTTTGACTCTGAGACCAAAACGCCTTCATTTTTCCACAAGGGGAAGAAGATTCAAGGTTAAATGAAGAAATTATTTGTATGACTTCTCCTGGGAGCTGCTGGGGCTCAGGGCACAGCCAGCTCTGCCTGTAGAAATTGGATATTAACCCTGAGTGAGCAAGATGGGAGCTCTGCCTGACCTGCAGTGAGCCTGGTGTCTGGGAGATGCTGCTGATGGAGTAAAGGGCTGCACAAACACATCTGGGGTCATATCTGGGCTTCCACCAGCTTGGAAATCTTGTAAGTTGGGAGGTAAACTATTGAAAACCACATCCCTCCTGGGCCTGCAGTGCTGGGCATGTGTATTGGAGGGGAATTTAATAGTAGCTATAAATAAAAAAAGTGTTTTTCTTAAAAAAAAAAAGGCAGAAAAATCTAAACATTAACTATGAGAAAATTATTAGGTTATTAAAATGCTTCTGGTCTCAACAATCAAATCTGCCATTAGGCATTGATGAATCTCAGGCTTATACACGATGCAGCATTTGGATTTTAGGAGAAAATCCAAATTTTGGATTTGTTGTAAGAAAAAAAACCAACCCACACCAACCTTTCCATCAGCATCAAGTGCCAGATTGACAGAACTGACCTTTTGACAGAATTGACCTTTTTCCAGCAAAGCCTGGTCCTGGATGCAGCATTCCACAGCAGCATTCCACAGCAGACCCCAGAATGGTTTGGGTGGGAAAGGAGCTCAAAGATTATCTCATTCCACCCAGGCAGGGACAGCTCCCACTGACCCAGGCAGCTCCAAGCCCTGTCCAGCCTGGCCTTGGGCATTTCCAGGGATGGAGCAGCCACAGCTTCTCTGGGATTTCCAGGGAATGGACACCCAAATTCAGAGTTAGGTGTCTGAACCACCTGAACCCCTGTCAGACACAATGATGGGGATGACATGGGGACAGAGAGGGGCTCGTGGTGTGGGACACACACAGGGGTCTGAGGATGAGGGAAGAGATGAGGATCTGACTCCATGTTTCAGAAGGCTAATTTATTATTTTATTATATATATTACATTAAAACTATACTAAAAGAATAGAAAAAAGGATTTCATCAGAAGGCTAGCTAAGAATAGAATAGAATAAGAAGGAATGATAACAAAGGCAGCTGTCTCAGTCTCTCTGTCTGAGCCAGCTGACTGTGATTGGCCATTAATTAGAAACAACCACATGAGACCAATCACAGACGCACCTGTTGC